TGCCTTAACATTATGTTGTGAATTTTCCCTGATTGTCATGGAAAAAAGAAAAAGCAGCCCCAGAGCCGCAGTGCGCCAAAAAGCCCCTTTGCACCGCCTCCTGGGCCAGGCTGAGGCTTGCCATTCACACTGTGAAAAAAAAAAGCAAGAAGCAGCCCCAGAGCTGCAGCACAGTACAAAGCCCAGCCCCAGCCCAGCCCAGCCCAGCCCAGCAGCCAAGCTGGGCATGCCTCATCAGTGCGAGCAAGAAGAAGGTGAAGATCAGCTGGGGCAAAGGGTGGCAGGGGTCTCATCTTGCTTTACGACTGCATTGCTTAGTGACAAATTCCGGTCCCAGTTGTGGTCATAAGTTGAGGACTACCTGTAATACTAAAATACCTTTTGTTGGGAAACAAATGTGACTAGGTTGTAGTTCTCTGTATATTTAAAGCAGGACTGTGAAGGCGCAACTCACAAATTGAGCTGTCAGTTTTGGTGCTTACAGAGGAAATGTGCTTTCGGGAATCACAGCTCCCTTCAAGTTCTGCATTCCATGCCACTTATCATTTAAATAGTTCCAAATGGGAACAGTAGTTTGTTCTAAATCTGTATTGAGTCACTGTCTCATCTGTGTTATAGGAAAATATCTGAGGACAGATATTCAGAATTTTCCATGATTTTATTGTTAAGACAAGTTAGGGAGTATGAACAGCATGCGCAACTTAGAATGTATTTTGTGTCTGGATTGCTTAGATTGCTTTAATTTAGATCAGGGAAATTGAAATTCAGCTTCTAGTTTAGCTGATGGTTACTGGTCAAGTGTGAGACTAGTCCCTTACTTTCTGCCCCACTTACATGATTCTAATGAGAATGTTCTCTGATTGGAGTTGGGAAACATGTATGCTACCGCTACCTGGTGCTCCCTGAAAGGAAGTTTATTTTATAATTTATATTCTGCTTTCCTATTAAGCATAATAATCAGAGGGACTTGTAATAAAGATTAAAACATAAAAAGATAGGACAAAAATAATTAAAAAGCAACACATCAGTTAAAATGAACAGCAGCTAAACAAAAAAGCAGATGTTGTAAGCTGTTCAACAATTAACAAGATTAAAATGATAAAGCAATCACAGATTATGTGCCAGCCAAAATAAAATGTTCCTTATCAGCTATCTATAGATAAGAAACAGAAGGGATTATTATCAAGAATAAATTCCACTGTCATTGCAGCCCTGGGAAGACTGCACAGGCAATACAGAGTGTGGTGCCTAGAGTTGTGATTTCAAAACCCTGTGAATTTCCAAGATAATTTAGGATTCTAAAGATACCGTAGTTAAACAATATCTTCTTTGAGTTGAGATCAACTGGTGACCTCATGGACATGTTTGTGTAGTTTTCTGGGGAATAATACAGACATATTTGCTGATACCTTCTTTAAAGATGCTTTTTTTATTTTCCCAGTCTAGCCTGCAGCCCTCTGGAAGTAGTTTCTGTCCAGCACTTCCAGGTCTAACCTTGCTTAGCTTTTCAAGATTAGCCAAAGTCAGCTAGGTTCTGCCACCTTGGTTCATGGATAAATTAGTAAAGTTTAACATAGCATTTTAAATTGAACCCAGAAACAAATGAGCTTCTTAAAGCAACTTTGAGATCTGTAGAGGAAAAAAAAAATCACAATGTAAAAGGGGCAGATTACAGGTGGAAAGTTGTGTTCATTCCTACTTTTAATTTCCAAATCAAATGCAGAATCTTTTTTTCATCTATTTTAAACTTTGCAGTTATGTCCTACTTCCAAATACAGGTAGTCCCTGGGTTAAGAACGCCCAGTTTAAGGACAACCCATAGTTAAGAACACACCCTACGGTAACAAAATTTGAGTTAAATACATAATGATTCGAGTTAGTTATGCAATGCTACTTATACAGTATTATACAATATTACTGTTCCAGCTTGCATACAAATTTGAATTAAGGACAGACCTTGGGAACAGAACTAATTCTTAAACTGGGGACTATTTTAGAATTTTTGTAGCTTCCCCCATTGGGATCGTGTTTCTAGTCTGGTTCTTATTGAGCAAGATATGTGTCTGCCTTAACATTATGTTGTGAATTTTCCCTGATTGTCATGGAACCTTCTCTGCCTAGTGTAACCTTGGTGCATTGCCCTTCAGTTTTCATAGTTACCAGCTATCATGATCACTAGTCATACTGATTGTGGGACTATGGGAATTGAAGTCCAACTCATCTGTGGGCACTAGTTTGAAGAAGGCTGATGTAATGAAAGAAAGACATGCATATCTTGGGAAGATGAGTTCTTATACTCTTATTGACTGGGTATGTTGGAATCTACTTGCAGTGTCAACATAATTTTAGAGAAATCTTTGAGGTTATTTAAAGTTTATTAAGATTTCAATCTTGTTTTGAACTACAATTCCCTTTTTTCTGCTTGTGTAAAAAATAATGTATTAACCACTGGTTATCTTCTGTTTACAGCTTGTTTTTTGGAAATCTCTACATATATTTTGCCTGGCAAGGGAAAAATTACATATCAGGTTGGTATTGTTCATAAAATCCTTTTGAAGCTGTAAATTTAGCCTACTCTCTCAGTCTTTGCGTTTTTACTGTATCTCACTGTATATCTTACAAATCCCATTTTAAAACATGCTTTCTTCCTTGATCCTTAATCATCTATACATAGAGGAAAAGACTAATTCACTGCCTCAGCAATTGGATGAGAGAAGACAAAGTTCGTGTGGAAGTATTTTTCTGCCTGAAGTGGACCAGCAAATGCCTTCCCACTCTTTTCTTCCATTTCCATTTCACCTTGGTCCAACCAACTATCTACCAATCTAAGCTACACCAATGGTGGTTTGTTCAAATCCTGGCTGGGGTAGGGGAGAGCAGAAATAATTGTCTCACTCTATGATATTACCTGTACATTGCATGATTTAAGAGATTTAACATATGTACAGGTTGATAAGCATTTATTTGAACAAGGTTTTGCCATTTTCCATTTAAAAAAATATTTTGTATTGACCCTGAAGAAAAAGTGAAACCCTGAAGAGTAATGCCAATTCGTATAATTCATACTAAAAAATTTAAAATTTAAAAAGGCATCCTGTTATTTCCTATTTGTCCCCATTTCTTTTTCTTCATTGTCTGCCTGATTATTAACTCAATGAAGTATACTGTAATCAAATGCATACCTACTTCAGTTCATTTAAGGTTTAATCCTACAGCCACAGCACTTTGGCTGATCTTAGAAGCTAAGCAGGCATATCTGATCAGTGCTTGCCTGTGGAAGTAGCTGAGAATTTCAAGGCTGTTGGCTAGACTGAGAAGTGAGAGAAAACATCCTGGAGGAAGGTAGCAGCAAACGCCTTCTGTAGTGCTGCCAAGTAAACTGCATCAAATTAACCAGGAGTCTAGTTCAGCCTGTGGCTGTCTTTACCTTTCTTAAAAAGTATATATAATAAAGCATTGCATTCTTAAAATTTGATAGCTGCAAAAACCTGCATCCTGTACTGACCAATGACTATAGGAAGCCAAAAGACAAGGCATAGAATCTATGCCAGTGAAGAATAGAGAGCAAGAGAAAGCAGGTACAGTCGGACTACTCTGAAGGCTGAAGTTTTAAACTGATACATATTTTAACATTTATATTTGCAGTTGAGAGAACTAGAAATGTCTGTTTTTATTAACGTTAAAGCTGTTTCTTTAAAAAAAAAACTTGTGAAAGCACTGCATTTGGTAAGATAATTTCTTCCCTATAATATTGTAAAACAGGAATTTAGATACAGAGACAGTATTATTATGCCTTTTTAAAACTATCAGTGTATTTTTGCTGAGATCTCTTCCTCTGCATATTCTAGATAGGTTTGAATGCTTTTCTGCCTTATTTCCTAATAATTAATTAATTTCCTTAACCTTAATTAAGATATCCTTAATTAAGTAACCAATTCATGACCATATTAAAACAATACATTAATATTCATAGTTATCTTCAGATACAGAAATTTGGTTTGATTCATGAAAACTTACTGAAATTTGTGTGAATGTAAATGTTGCTCTCTATATTATATTTTGATTTGTCTGAAAAATGTCCTGAATATTTTGGCAACTTTGAAAGAATGCACTGTTTACTGAAGAAGGTATAACATGCTATTTTCCTTCTCCGCAGAAGGCGACCGTAGGACTGTCTTCATCTCTCTAACAGTGATCAGTCTAGTGGGCACCGTTTTGTTTTTTCTCATTAGAATTCCAGAAGAATCAAATTCAGAAGAAGAGGAAACCACTGCTGAAAACATTGTAGATAGCATGTAGGTGCTAATGGCTGATCAGCATATTCTTAGTTCAACAATTTCTGCTTCTCTTTGAATAAGAAAGGAGTGTCAGGTTCAGCCCAAAGAACTCCAAGAGACCATTCAAATACAGTTCTGTTGTGTTTATTAGCTTCAACCTCAACAGAAATCTCACCAGACTGCACCCTAGTTCCCAAGCCAGCCAGCCACAACACCATGAATTCCTTAGGGAGGTGCCAGCCTCATCTTCTTGAACTTCCCATGCTCCTGTTGGGGGCTAAGAACACGCTTATCTCCTTGAGTCTGGCCTTCATAAGTCCATTCCATCACAGGAGGCTTGTATTTACTGCAGAGAAGAATTGTAACTAGGAACAATCCACTTGCCCCAGTTATCCAGAGTAGGAAGTATGCTTAGATTTAAAATGTCTGGAACTGTAGAGCTACAAGATAATTTATATAAAGCTACAAACATAATTTATGTAGGATAAATTAACTTGCATTGGTATATGTTTAAGCCATATGATTCTGGGCAGATCTAATTTGATATGTAAGGGGAGTTTATGAAAAAAAGTGATGGCAGAAGTTTAATGCACATATAATTTAGGTCAATGGTTTATTTCTGAATCAGTATTTCCTATATTGATTTCTAATGGCAAGTGGTGCTGAGTAAAAGAAAACATCAATAATGACACAACATAATGATTATTTTCTCAATATATTACATTTTTTTTTCATTTTAAATATTTGTTTTACCAGGTCTGGCCAAAGCAAAATATCAAGGGCTATGGATGCAATAAGTAAGTAAAATTCCAAGGAAAAAGTACCCGGGGCATTTTGACATGCTCAGCAAGAGTCAGATACAAATGGTTATAATTCCTTGTAGCTGTTTTTAAGATTTCCCTCATCAGAGAAGCAGTGGCATAGTTAGTAGCAACATTGCTATGAATTCTGTAATACTGCCTATTTTAGGTACAGCTAGACTAATTTCCTGTCCTGCTTTGGCTCACAAAGTTGGGATAGTCCACTGATTTATTAAGTCCCACAGCCTGTACTCATGTACAAAACTATGTGAGTACTAACAGAGAAGAGCTCATTGTGATTGCGGAAGAAAGGGGTATTGGAGTTCAGCTCAGTTCCCCATTTTTGAATTTATAAATCAATGAGAATTCTCATTGGATCTAGTTTAATTAAAATATTTTCATTTTGTTGTCTTTGTAGAAAGATCGTTCAAGTTATGTGCTACAAAAGAGATTTTGCTACTTAGTGTCACAACAGCCTATACAGGTAATGGAACAAGGGTGTAAACATCAATCTTGGAAGTTTGTAGAGACTTGTAAATACATTTTTATGTCACTATATTTTTTCTAAATGTTTTCTGTCCTGTCAATTGTCTTTGGTTTCTTCATGAAAATCAATTAGTGATCTTCCTTTCTGACCTTATTCCATTAGCTGATGTTATTGTGATTCCATGAAATTGTGAGGAAACTATACAGAACTTTCTTAAGAATTCTTTGCAGCTAAAAAACTATTTTTATAATGAAGTACTAATTGTTAAAGGTCTTTTTTTTGGACAAAAGCCAAAAAAGCCAAGGTTACTTGTATAATTTCTTTGTGTGCATTTACTGACACTTTTTGCGTTATAACCCTATAAATCAACTTTTTCTTTTAGCATATTTAACTTTCTTTTTGTATTCTTTGAGCAAACCTTTTCTTAACTGGGAACCAAGTGTTTTTGTTGATATTTATCTCAAACCATGATGGTAACTGATACGATGGCACAATATCATTATCAGTAGATATTTGGGAGGTGCTTCTGACCAGGCTCCCAAGTCTGTAGGAAATTAAAATTTTACCAGAGTAGTCTAAATGTTCACTAACTCTTTTTCCAGTACTATAAGAAATACAGTTGTACAGGTAGTCCTCGGATTACAACCATTCATTCAGTGACCATTCAAAGTTATGATGGTGCTGAATTAGGGGGACTTATAACCAATCCTTGAAATTGCAGCCATCACAGTGTCCCTGTGGGTGTGTGATCGCGATTTGGGCACCTGGCAGCTGACTTGCAATTACGTGATCACCATTTGTGTCCTTCCCTGCCAGCTTCCTACAAGCAAAGTCCATGGGGAAGTTGGTAGGAGGTCACAAATTGCTTCTGCAAGTTGCTCCCACTGCTTTTTGTCCTGAGGAGCCCCTGGACGGCATGGGGATCTTGTATTCTGTAGCACCCACCCACCTGCCCACTGTAGCACCTGCCCGCCTGCAGCACCTGCCCACTTACAGTCCATAGTAACCGCCTCGCCCCGGTCATTTCAGCCCACCCCACTCGGTCCAGCAGAAGGGGCAGGTTGCAGACCCCACCAGTCAAGGAATTTCGATT